TTCTTCTTCTTCTTCTTCTTCTTCTTCTTCTTCTTCTTCGGCAGAACCGGGGATTGAACTCAGGCCCTTGTGCTTGCCAAGGAAGCACTTATTCTACTGAGCCATCTCCCCGGCCCCATATTTCTTCTTTTCAAGAGAGAATTTTTTTATCTTTTTCTTGTCTATGACTTATACTTTGAGTAACATTTTGCACAATCCTCTAAAATAATAATACATATTATTTTAATTCTTTTAATTCTCTAATTATTTTCTTTTTAAATTTTGTTTCTCTTTTTTCTGTATTTTAGGGAAGGGTCTACAGGGTGTTCAAGGCTCACTATTAGATCATACTCATAGTGATTCTCCTGTTTACAGTCTCCCAAGTGCTGGGATTACAGGCGCGCACCACCACGCCCAGTCTCAATTGCCTTCTCAGCATGCCTTGGGGATGGGGCCGGCAAAGCAGGCCCGGGAATCAAATCCCTGGTCCCTGGGCCTATTTGCAGGTGCTTTAATCTGCTGAGCTATTTGGCTAGCCCTGAAATTTTGTTTCTTTAATAGAAGAGTGCCTTTATATTTTCTTCATTAATATCTACTTGTATTACATTAAGATGAAGTTAAAAAAAATTAAAAAGAAAAGCTTATGTACTACAACATAAATGCATATGTTAATTAGATAAATTTGCCCATTTTGCACTGTATTTATACATCAAAACATGTTGTACACAATAAATGCATCAAATGTTTGTGCATTTAAAAAAAGAAATTATATTTGAATAAAAACATTGATGTTCTCATCCACTTTCAAAATGTTATTTCCTTATGGCATTTTATCTCATGTTCCATTTTATAATTAGTCAAAAATAAAAGAAGCTGCCAATAGCAAAAACTATTGTGTAACTCCAAAATCAGAAGCTGAAAACTTCCAACCAAAGGGACAACCAGCAACTTAGGAAAAGTAAACAGACTTTCTCATGAGAGCGGCTGCCGTGCTGGCAGGCCATCTCAGGGCCATCTCAGGGTCACCCAGATTGTCTTCTAGGCTCCTATTGTTCCTATTTTTTTTTTTTTTTTT